GCCCATCCTTGCAGCCACTGTGTCATTCCATCTCGTTGAGGGCCTTCCCTTTTTTTCACTGACCCTCCGCTTTACCAAGCATGATATCCTTCTCCAGGGAATGGTCCCTTAGGGCAACTTGACTAAAGTAGGTGAGGTGAAGTCTGGCCGTTCTTGCTTCCAGGGAGCATTCTGGTTGCACTTGCTCCAGGACAGATATTTGCATTCTTTTTGGTAGTTCATGGTACTTTCAGTATTCTTTGGCAACACCATAACTCAAAACCATCAATTCTTCTTCAGTCTTCCTTGTTCATTGTCCAGCTTACACATTCATATTAGGTGATTGAAAACACCATAGCTTGGGTTAGGGACACTTAGTCTTCAAGGAGACAGTTTTGCTCTTCAGCACTTTAAAGAGGTCTTTTGCAACAGATTTGCCAAGTGCAATATGCCATCTGGTGTCTTGACTGCTGCTTCCATTGGTGTTGATTGTTGAATGAACACCTTTGATCTTTGACAAGTTCAATCTTTTCTCCATTTATCATGAGGCTGTTTATTGGTCCAGGTGTGAGGACTTTTGTTTTCTTTATGTTGAGATGTAATTCATACTGCAGTCTTTAATCTTCATCAGTAAATGCTTCAAGTCATCTTCATTTCAGCAAGCAAGGTTGTGTTGTCTGCATATCACAGGTTGTTATGAGTCTTCCTCCAATCCTGATGCCACATTTTCGTTAAGAGGATGATGCCATCATTACATAACCACCAAGCCACTGAGAATCATGGCCCAGGCAAGTTGCCACATAACTATCACAGTAGTGTTACTCTTGCCTCACACTGGGCATTCGTTACTGCCAGACGTAGGCCTTTAGTGCGCAAAACAGTTGGATAGTAGATTTTTTACTATTGTCGTACACATAAAAAATGTTGGATAACGAGATAGTCAGTAAATAAGGAGTAGGTGGACTTAGATCCATACACCCACATACACGTGGAGCTCTGGTGGCTCAGTGCTTAAAGCATTTAGCTGCTAACCAGAAGGACAGCATAGCCACCAGTGTTCTGCAGGAAGAAGGTGCGGCAGTCTGCTTCTGTGAAGATTACAGCCTTGGCAGCCCTGTGGGACAGCTCTGTTTTGTCCTGCAGTGTTGCTCTGAGTCGGAATTGACTGAATGGCAGTGGGGTTGGTTTTGGTGGTGTGTGTGTGTGTGTGTGTGTGTGTGTGTGGCTGCCTTTTCTATACCTTGCATACGTGCAGTTTAGTGATGTTAACTACGTTCCTCAAGTTGTTCAACATCAGCCTTATCTATTCCCAGAATTTTTCGTCCCTACTGGAGGCTCAGCATCCCCTGAGTATGGGGTATGGGGTCTTGCTTTCCCCTCCTTCCCACCAAGCCCGGATGACCACTAATGAACTTTGATCTCTGTACCCTTACCTGTTGTAGGTGCTAATCTCTTATCTGTTGTTGTTGGCACAATATGATGTTTGATGGTTTCATGTAACTCCACTTCCCTTATTCTCATTGCTCTGTGGAATATCATTGTTGGAAAACACCAGTACCTGTCCCTGCTACTCTTGGTGAGCACGTCAGTGGAGTGCTGTCCAGATAATGAACGACGCTCCTAAGGGCATTCTCATACGCATCCTTGCTACTGTCTTTGGTGTGTGCAGTTCTCTTGCTGGGTACGTAGGTCTGGAATTGCAGAGTCCTAGAATGTGTATGGGAGCTCTGGTGGCACAGTGCCTAAGGCATCTGACCGCTAAGCAGAAGGCTGGTGGTTCAAACCCACCAGCCACTCCTCAGAAGGAAGACTGGCCAATCAATCTACTTCCGTAGGGATACCATCTCGGAAACCCAAGGAGGGGTTGCTGTGAGTCAAATTGACTCAACAGCAGTCTACACTACACACACAGGATGTATATAAGGAGCCCTAATGGTGCACTCATTAAACACTCAGCTGGTGACCTTGTCAGTGAAGATGTGATCTGCTTCCATAAAGATTTATAGCCTTGGAAACCCTACAGGCCAATTCTGCTCTGTCCTATAGAGTTACCATGAGTTGGAATTGACGCAACAGAAATGGGTTTGTTTCTTTTTTTGGTTTTTAGTAGATGTGTGCGTCCAACATAGTAGAGACCAAATCAGACAGGTGTTTGTTTATGGCTTCCTAACTCAGCCCTCGGTATAGGTTTTTGTTTTGTTTTATTTTCAGTGTGGCCTATTAATCAGTAAGCGCA